AATGTACATAACGTATACTGTTAAATATGTATTGCGCAACTCCCGCCTATTCTCTAAAGTTGTAGAAGATTCTCGAGTGTAAGAATTAACAATATATGTGTGTAAGTAAACGATAATGTAGGTTTATATTGTTACGTAATCCAAAATTCTCGAGAAACTCTCCACACACCTATAAATATAACCAACGCACCACGCCAAAAAACAATATCTATTATTGGTTTGCTATAGTTGGTGTGCTAGAAACTTCGGAAGCTATAACTGTGATGAACGCTTATTAACCGGGAAACTTAAGATATCTGAACAGGAACGTTTATAAATTTCGAATATCCAAAACCATTTAACTGCAGTGGATTCACCTCGGACATTAGTACTTTTATTATATAACTTCAGCGGTAAAAGAAACTCGACCTGTAATCGGCGTGTGATAAGAGAGAACTAAAGGGCTGGCTAGCTCACTGTTAAGTGAATGATACCTACGTCAACTCGAAATTAATTCGATCATCGTGAACCCTCGATAAGATATCAGGGAAGTTCCAGACTAGAAAGAAGACTTTATATTGCTTGTAAGTTCGTGAAACTTTTCTATATAAATCATTGTTTGTAACTACTATTTTTAATAACTGTTATTGTAAATTGTATTATTCTTTGTGTATTAAAACATATTTGTATTAAAAAAAAAAACTGTGTGTATCAATCTTGTTGGCAAATATCATAAATTGGATGTATATACTACTGAATTTAAAGTATCATTTAGCTCGGTTTCAGACCATTCGAAATTGTAACACGTAACAAGTACCAAAATATTTTCTTACAAACTTTCTGTTCATTTATTCAATGTCATTGGCCATTCCACGTGCTTCAATCGGTTTAAAGATTATCTTTCCCAACTCATCTAGGAAGTTTTTTCAGTCATTCAACTTTCTTCCGAAGACGTGTTTATTAATCGGAAGTTTTATCTCAGTCATTTCCCATTCTTCCGAATACGCGTTTATTAATCGAAAGTTTTCCTTATTCATAAACCTTTTCTTCCGAAGACGTGTTTATTAATCGGAAGTTTTATCTCAGTCATTTCCGTTTCTTCCGAAGACGTGTTTATTAATCGGAAGTTTCTTCATTCATATATCTTTCTTCGGAAAACATGTTTATTAAGCGGGAAGTTTCCTCAGTCGTTCAAGTTTCTTCCGAAGCCGTGGTAGATTTATCGGAGTATTTTTTCCAGCTTAATGTTTCCTGTTAGTTACAATCAGCATCAGAAATGAGTTTAATATAATCTATTTTCAGCGTTACTTGTTGTAATTACAACACCTTTACCTTTACAGTTCATATATTATCATGAATGCCATTGTAATAAACAAAAACAAGTTTTAATCTCTTAGGAAGAACTGGATAATTCGTTCTTATGTCATGTCCTGTTGTAATACAATTCAACTCTTCTGTTATAGGAAAAGTGTAAACTTTTACATTGACGTCCATGGTTTCCATAATTCCCTATAGCTTCAGTTGACACAAAGTAATGTTTTTGATCAAATATTGATCTCCCATGTTTCCCATATTATTTTATTTACATGCTTGATTTAAATTTATGTTTCATTAATTGTTCATAATCGCTAACTATAAAAGTTTATTCCCTTTGTCATTCTGTCGAGAACGCTTTCACGCTCTTTTTCTTTGGTAAAGCTCAACAATATAAATCGTTGCTCAGTAACACAACTATCACCTGATTGTTTTTAGGTCAACTATGGTGTTATATCAAATACTCAATATTCATGTTGATTTGTTAGCAGGTTTGTTTTTTATTCTTTATTTTTTGATAACTTTTGATAACCAAGTACTGTTTCAGCTACGCCTTACTTTACGTTTATGTATTAGGCCTAAAATGCGTTTAAAAAGTTTAAGTGGTGAATTACCAAATATATTTTATCCTTTGTAAAGTCGAAAAGAGTTGAAAATTTGTGTCGGAATGTGTGTGCACTATGTTTTCTACTTTCTAACATGCCCCCCAGTGGCACAGCAGTATGTCTGCGGACTTACAACGTTAGAAACCGGGTTTCGATACCCGTGGTGGGCAGAGCACAGATAGCTCTTGTGTAGCTTTGTGCATAATTAAAAACAAACAAACAAACAAACTTTCTAACCTAGAATACAGTGAAAAGGCTCAAGCGTGCTATTTAAGACTTTCAGAGTGAACACGTACTTTTATTCACGATAACATTTCATTTTTCTGCGAAGTTTTTACACTAGGGTCAATTTTTGTAGGAACTAATTCACAAGAAGCACAAAGAATTATAGAAGCAAACTAATAATAGTAGATGAAGCCTCATTGTTCTCGAGCAATGGTTTGAGGGTTATTGGTATACATTTGAGAAAAATAGAGAATAATAAGAGGCCTTTTGGAGGTAAAGTTTTGTTGCTGGGTGGAGATTTTGGACAGACAACTAATGTAATAGTCAGGGGTTCAACTATAAATGTGATTGAAGCATGCGTTAAAATCATTGCATGGGACTTGCAGAGGTCATTAGTTTAAATATGAATATAAGATCTGCTGGACAGGAAGAATTTAATGAATGAACATTTAGTATTGGTAACGGAACAATAACAAAATACTGTTACTTTGCCAGAAGAGATAACTGAAATACCAACAAGAATAATTGAACGGAACAATTTGGTGAAACTACTGATATGAGAAATGAGAGAGCAGTAATGGCACTGTCAAGAAAGGTTATCCTGACTACAAAGAATAAAAGATGCCTTGGAATTGAATAAGGAAGTGTTAAATTTGGTTAATGGGAAAGTAAGAGAATATCGAAGTGTAAATAAAATAGTGACTGACGAAGATGAAACGAGAGTTAATTTCTCAGTTGAGTTTTTGAATTCACAAACACCATCAAGAATGCCACTTCATAGGTTGTTGTTGAAAGTTGGAGCTATAGTGATGCTGAGAAGGAATTTGAACCCAAAGAAGAGATTAAATGGAGCTAGATTGCTTATAATGAGCTTATATCAGTACTTTTTAGATTGCGAAATTTTAAATGGAAGTCATAAAACAGAGATAGTTTTTATATCGAAAATAGATTTAGCACCTAATGAAACAAGTTTGCCATTTGTACTTAAGAGAAGACAACTTCCAGTGATAATAGCATTTGTGATAACTATCCATAAGTCTCAGGGACAAATCTTATATCAAGTTGGAGTATTTTTGCCGGAACCAATGTCTGGACATGGACAGTTGTATGTGGCTATCACGATAACAAGAGATGAAAATAATTTTAAAATATTTGTGACCGATAGAGAGAATCAAGGAAGTGATGAATAATGATATAGCTTTTACTAAAAATGTGGTGATTAGAGAATTACTTCGAGACTGATGAAATATGTGAAGAGTAGGTGTATTTTGGAGGTACAGACAATTTCGTTTTAGTTAAATTCTATAATCTTCTTTAATCATTCAACAATCGTCATTTTTGACGAGGTTTTATACTAGCAATGAATAATGTTCTAGAAATTTATTTCCTTTGCTAGACTAAATATTACAAAATATGTTGTTTTGTTACTACTTGAAATCGTACTGTACCAGTACCACCAATAGCGCAAATGACCTACACGCAAGGATAACCGTTGTCGTTGTTGCGGTCGTGTTGCTTCTCATACCAGGAAAGATATTTGTAACATTCGCTGAAGCCACCAAGCTACCCTTGAGAAACAAATGCACGTTTATGAATGTAGTTATAATGTTCCGGACCTATTGCTAATTACGCTTAAATAAAATACATTAGACGCATTATACAGGAAACTGACTTTGAACTGTAAGACACAAAAATACTATTAAATACAAAAAAATATCACATATATTACTTGTATTAACTTCCACGACTCTTGCTTTCAATAATCGTGCAAAATGCAAATACAACTTACAAGTGTTTAACTTTTAACTAAATTCTTCATTCATTAACTGAACATAGCATATGTTGTCTTACCTTCATTGATTTAGGTGTCGTGTAAATTCGTCTTCACGTCCTTTCTTTCGTCAGAGTAAATACGAACCACTGCATGATGGATTAATAATACAGCGTTGTAAATAGCTACAAGTATGGGCTACTTTCATCTGTGAATTTCTTCTTGTGCTGGAAGGATCGTCACACAAGCAGTATAAGGCACGTGACTGTAATGAAACCGGTGAACACCGGTGTAGGCCTACGAGTACCATTTTGTGGACGTTGATCAGAGTTTCACGAGTTACCTTGACAACGAGATAAACATTTCAAGTCAATGACGTTACATTCGATTGGTGGTTGCAAATATGCAATGCAACAATAATTGGGGGAAAAGCAAAAGTTTTAAATGCAGTGACACTACATGTTAAAATACATCATTTACTACGAACTTGGTATAGCATTCCAATATATGCTAACAACCAATCATATTACCAGACACACGAATGTGCAAATAGTGGACCAATCACGTTAGTAAAAACACCACCCTAGAAATAACACAGTAGTTAAAATTTGAAGCGTGAGCTTGAATTAAATGAAATCTATAATAAACTAAACTTCAAAACATCCTCCCGCAGTTTGTTAACTTACTAGGTCCTCAAAAAAGGTATACCAGTAACTCACATGGTTGTATTTGAGGTATACCAGTAACTCACATGGTTGTATTTGCATTTTTCTAAGTCTTCGCGCAAATTTTAAATCAAATGTAGTTTAGAAGTTATGTACAGGTAATTTTATTCAAGATTAAAGTTGAAAGTTAGTGAATTAATAAAACATCCTAAACTTTAGTTACCGGAACTTAGAGAATGATCTATTCTGCACAGAAATTGTAATTGTTTAGATGCCGAACACACCTGTTTTTCATAATCGGATTATGACGCTTCATAACCATAAATGTTCCAGTATAATTCCGGCTGAACCTAGAAAGGCGCCCGCTCCCTCCAAAAATCTTTTAACCATTTAGCGCCGAATCCCTAAACATTTAGGAACTGACAAAAAGTCAGCCACATTCTCACCTCTCTCAACCCCAACAGATTCTTACACCGAACTTCATAACATCAACAAAATATATATGGAATCATAGATTGAAATATTCCATGGAATACTTTTGATATTAAAATTAGTATATCTACTGTACTGAGAAAATTATCTATAGCACACGACACGTCACTGGAAGAAAGTTGATGCTGTAGGTTATGAAACATAAAATAGCTTTTTCTTGCACAATGAAACTTTACTTACAATTTATAGTTACTATAAATTTGTTGGCAGTATTCCATTTCCTTCATCGGGAATTTCGATGTCACGTGATAGGCGGGACATAACGACTAGAGCAGTGTTGTAATTTTAAGAAAAAAAGATTTGAGAAGAAATACCAAAAAATACAAAGTATAAAGGAAAATCCCTCCTCTCTCTCCATTTTTTCTCAATAATTCTAATCTCAGACATCATTAACTAAGCCATGTGGAATAGTAGTACCCATCTGATCTACATTTGTCACTACTAAAGGAACTGGAATTTGCAAAACATTAGGAGGTAAATGTAATAAAATAAAATCAATTTAAAATACAACTTTGCAATAGAAGCAAGTTTATTTTAACTGGTGACTTTTCGATTAAGTGCTTTTCATCAGGCTTAATATTAAAATGAAATGAAGAACAGGTATATACTATCAGAACTTGGGTATTATTGTGCATGTACGACTCGAGACAAACAATATACACTTACAATGGAATATTTTGTTATCTGTTACTACTAATGTTATGTCATCTGTAACTGCAGGGCGTTCCTGGGTTACTCCAAGTATGCCATTATCTCAGAAAGTTACAGAATTTTGTAGGTCAGACCAACAGCATTAACTTATTGAGAAGCCAACAGACTATGCCTTAAAGGTACCATGGGAGGCATGTCAGACATAGTTTGAAATCATTTTAAAGTGAGTAGATAGAGTAGATAATAACAACAAGCTTTTATTCTTGCCGTAAATTTAAGGACTAACTTTACCAACATTAATAAACATTCCAGCAGAGTGCCACAACAATTACCATGCGTTAATGACCGCCTTATCTAAAGTAAGCTTCGAAAGAAAAGATTAGGAGCAGGGTAAGGAGGAAAAGCGAAATCTTATTTCAACTTGCTGAAGATGCAGAAAGACTTAAACTTGCCCAATTATTTTATACAAATGCTCTACGTGAAAACGTAATTTGATAGATCCTTTGTCCCAAGACCAATTCAAAGATTCATATATATATATATGAAATGCTCTAATGCAAGGTATTTGTACACCTTTGAAGAAAGTTTTTCAGTTAGCAATCGAACTTGAATCAGTTAAAGTCGCAGAAAATAAGTAATAGCAGCATCTAGGAATTATGAGATTATTAAATGGTGTATGAATATCAACTATCTCCGAGAGAGGTCTAGAAGAACTCAAAGAATAAATTAGACAACTGTTTACTCAGAATTAAAGTAGTAAACCATATGACAAAATGTACCTTTAATTGCAACTTAAAGGAGCATATTACAAGGAGCTCTAAACAAGCCCTTTAGAAAACAAAAACTTCTAACAAGGGTAACAGGAAAAGTTAAGTGCTATACGTGTGGAACATATGGACATTGTATCCGATTAGAGGGTAAATCACCTGTTGGTTAGTAAATAAGGGGACGATAACCTGAGAAAGGGAATACTACATCTACCACAGTTATGGTAAAGAGTGCGTTATTTGAATAAACCAGTCCCCTACTCAACTAATCTCTAGACAAGAAGATTTTCAACGTATTAATCGACACTGGTTTTACAGTTATAATTGTTTGTCCTGATCTGATAACGAAAGTTGGAAAATTGTCATCAGAAATGAAGCAAGAGAATGAATTGATGGGAACTGAAAGTGGTAGTAAAGTTCCAGCAGGAAGAAAGTTGTAAGTCACCTTCATTGTGGGAAGATTCTCTACTCAACAGTTTGTGTGGGTAGTGGACATTGAGGAAGAATGCTTCTTGAAAATAAACTTCATGTGAGGCTAGACTTGCTTCAAACATTTTCATAGTCTATAACCAAGAAACCTTGTACAATTACAGCACCATAAGGTGAACCTCCAGTGATAACAAGGATGGTAACACAAGGTAATGAAGGCAAGCAATTTAAAGTACAACAAATCAGGATCCATACCAAAGGTCATCCACTATTATCATCTTTCAAATTAAGTAGCGCAAGAGCAGCCAACTGATTATCTTCAGAGAAGATTTTGCTAGAAATAAATTAACCTGTTGGAGAACCTGAGGTTCCTGTCAAGAACACTTTCAGAGTATCATCAAGGATGGAACCACCAGTGGATGCCCTCGACCATTTATCTGAAGAAACCTTCTCAGTGACAAGATGACAAGTGATTTCAAAGGAATAGAGAAAAATTACACATACTATAAAAATATTAGCTTTTGTTTGTTTGGTGCTAAGCATAAAGTTACATAATGAGCTCCTTGTGTTATGCCCGCCACAGTTATCGATACTCGGTTTATAGCGTTATAAGTTTTTAGAAACTCACTTGATTCGCTAAGTGGATCGCTATCACAGAGATCTGTTTCCTACCGTAGGTATGTAATACCAAAATAGAACAGGATGTCAGAATGTGGACGCAATTACTAACAAAGTAAGTTCAGAACGAACGAACTCAGTATAGTGAAGAAAGCTCTGCTGAATATTTTGGGTTTATTCTGCACTTAGAAACACACCTACGGTCTGTCGCTCTACCTAGTTTTGCCATCTATTATCGTATTTTGGAACCACAAATTACACTCCACTTTCTCTGTACTAACCTAACATTACCTACTTCCTCATACAACTGAGTGTTATTGTTTGTTTTTCAGTTTCGCGCAAAGCTACACGAGGGCTATCTGCGCTAGCCGTC